AAAAAAAATTGGAGAATGATTTATAATTAATTAATTTTTTAAAAATGTTTTCCTAATTATATGTATGTTTTAAAAATCACAATTTTCGTTAAAATCATATATGATTCACCATTTATTAATTTTTTTTAAATGTTTTCCTAATCATATATGATTTTTTAATCATACGTGATTTAAGATTTGAAAAACAATGATCAAATTAAACATTAAAAAAGAAAAATAATGAAAAAACAAAATCACATGTGATGTGTAGCAAAATACATGTAAAATATATAAGATCATATGTATCTCAAAACGTAATTCAGAATTTATGTAATAATATTGTAGATAATTTACATTTCTTTTCTACCATGATGAATACCATATATGATACATTGACGAAAATTATCGATTCTTTTCTAGGGAAAAAAGTCTATTAATTTATGGATATCACCTAATATTTTTTAATAAAAAATGTAAAAAAAAAATCTTAAATAAACTACTTCAATAAAATAGATATTTTAAATAAAAAACTAAATCACATTTATTTTAAATATTATAAAAAATAATAAATAAATAAATAATCATGCTTAAATCATGAAAATTATAAATAAAAAACCATAAATAAATATCTTAATTAAATTTGCTAAATAATTTTTATATAAATAAATAAATTTTTATATATAACATATATACAACAAATAACATATAATATCATTTTGGATGACTTTTAAGAAAGTTTTATTTAAGTTATTATTTAATGAAATAATTGACATGCAATTATTCTCTTATTTTTTTAAATAAATATTCATTTTCATTTGATATATATAGAAATAGAGATGAGTTATTATACAACCCTTCATATTTGTACAATCAATACAACTCAATCTCAATCGTCCATTTAATTTGATGAATATGTGATTTCATACAAGTTTTGATCATAATTAATGAACTCTAGTCATCTTCTATGAATATTCAAATCATAATATATGAACTCTCATCATTTCTATGAATATTTCAATTGATTGGATTGCATTAGTTGTACAAATAAACATAATTGCATTTGAAATATACTTCTATACATATATATATACTGTCCTAAAATATTATATAATAGAGAATTTTACATGCACCTCTTCATATCACGTGGGGGTAAAATTTTGCATTGAAAAATGAAAACGAAAGAGTGTGTGTGTGTGTGTGTGTGAGAGAAAATAACAAAAGGAATGCAAATAGCAACTACAAAATGTACAATTCTTCAATTTCTATAACCTTGTAAACATCAACACATTTTAATGGTCTTAACCAATATAACCTTTTATCTCATAGGTTGCGTTTGGTACACAAGACAAGACAAGACAATGCAAAAATCTGTTATCCCACATCCGGTACAACATTAGACTGTGATAGGACAAATCTGAGTAAAACAAAACTACGTTTGTTATGTTCCACCAAGATGGGTGGAACAAAAATCAGGGACATGAGACAAGTTCAGATAATTACCAAACTACCCATGTAAATTAAAAACGCTAAAACCTTCCACAAATCTTTAAACTGCTTACCTCACTCTGGCCCGTCCAGTCCAATCCGATCTTGTTATAACCAGTTCTGTCCACGTACCAAACACAACCTAAAGAGTTTGGCAACATTCACCTTTCATGTAGGAGGTTCGTTGTGACTTTGACCTTCACCACCACCACCACCACCACCACCACCACCACCACCATCATCATCATCAATGGAAGAAGATGCAAATTCTGAACTTTCATTAGACCGATTTCGAGCAGCAGAAACAACAGCCAGTTGTCCACTTAACAATCTGTAAATAACGTCACGGTTTATAACTGGTTTTACCAACACAAGACGGTGTTCCGAGGTATGCTTTTGATTAAACCTCCCCGGAAGTTTAGAACCTGTTTTATGGCAATCTCCACAAACATCATAACCACTCTTTTCCTTGCAATCTTTGCAACAATATCTATCCCCAATTATTGGACACATCTGCGGGAAAAAAAACCCGAAATTTTTAGCACTAGTCTAGTAGTCACAGACTATAATTTCTCCAAAATACAGAAGTAAAAGTTAAAATCTCCAAAAAATTCTTTATAATTTCTCCAAAATACAGAAGTAAAAGAGATAAAATACCCAAAAGATTACATTCCAACTCCAACAGTGAAGATTTCAACACTAATTATAATTTTTAAAAATACCAACAAATTTTCAAATAAATAATATATGAAATGAAGATGCAAAAGCAGAAAAAGAGAAGAAAGTTACCCCACACATGTCACAACCAATCCCTGGATGAAATTTAGAGCCATGAATGGTCCACCATTGAAGAAAATTCTCTTCTGTTGAATATGAGAACTTGCAACCTTCATCATTGGCCTCTGCAACCCAAAAACAATATTTTTTGCATCATTACTTGAATGTTCAAAGAAAAAAAACTGAATATATGTATATATATATATACACACACACACAAACACATGCATATATATATATATATATATATATATGTGTGTGTGTGTGTGTGTATAGGGGGCTAATCCTGTGAAACCACATAAGGTTATATAAAGTGTGAGAACAAGTGTATCATTTGTTATGTCACATGAACTTTTTTCATTTAAGACTAGGATTTAAGGTATTGATTAACATATATTTGTTTCACATTGTGAAACAAAAAATACACGTAAAAAAGTTTCACATTGTGAAACAAATATATCCTTATCCGGTAAAAGTTCGGGCAGTTTTCAACCTTTTTGGGGTTCTCATTTGATCCTTCACAGATAAACACACACACACACACATATATATATATATGTGTGTGTGTGTACATATAATCAAGACATGTGTCCTTATACCATAATTATACATACATACATACATACATACATACATACATACATACATACATACATATATATATATAGGGAGAGAGAGAGAGAGGGAGGTTCAAACAAGAACAACAACCAAATAAGAGAACACGAAAACGACCAAATCATGTGCAAAATCACATGTCAATGAAAAGGATTGCGGGTGACGTAGCCCGAGGCCAAAGTCGTGTTATACGTGATTTTAGTGTAAAATCACATGTGACTCGACCGTTTTCTTATTCTCTAGTTTTGTTACTCTTCTCATATGAGCGTGGCTCCCTCTCTCTCTATATATATAATATAACATAACATAATATAATTGGGAAATTTGTCCATGATACCATAAGTAGATGCAAAAAAGAGGTAACAAAATATAAGTGTAGCTGTATAAAGCATCAAAACTAACCCTTGAATGGATTTCCATTTCGGATCTGTTCTGTGTAGGGCTGCATACTGCTTCTTCTAAGTGCATACTCTGAAGAAAATTGTTCCTCTAGGAAGTAATCAAGCTCCTTACAGATACTTGGAACTCCATTTGGATGCCGACCTTCACAAACTCGACATTTAATCACCCCATCTTCCGGTATGGTGATGCAGGCCTCACAATAAACTAAAGTTTATTTAACAACCAAACGGGAAGGGTAAATAACAAGAACCTATCAAATTACGATTGAGACATTACAACAAAATCGGCTTTATAGGATGCCAAAGATCTCTAAATGTCCGTATTTGGGAATCCTAACAAACTTTTTACGACACTTGAAATGAAGTGCCCTATTAGCATTTTTATAGTACACTTTTGAGAAATGTCCCAACTCCTACGAACACATCTTTTTATAGGACACTAATTATACAAGACATTTTTTCTAATAATGTCATAAAAAGACTGATAAGACAATTTATTTCAAACTTGCAAAAAATTTGTTAGAATGCCCAAAAACGTTCTATCAACTTATTGTAACCCCTTTACATAGTATGCACAATTGTTTGGTCCTATAAACTTAAGTCCTATAAAGCAGTCTATTAGGACATTTAAGGCCTATTTGTCAACAACTTAATGAGCTTAATGCGACTCGCAACTTATTCGGCCAGCTATACATGATTGTTTGGTACTCGCTTAATGATATAGAAAGTTGCTTTTTGGTAAGCTTCTAGGGGGGAGCTTTATGTAGAAAGCCAAGTTTTTCCAAACATGCCCATCCCAATTAAAAAACACATATCTTCCATCTATCAAAATACCCTACCAAACAAAAACCCTCCCGATCTATACAGACAGATTAATCCACTATGTGTCTATGTCAGCTTTATTTATACAAGACTTCATGGAAAACCAACCAAACACCCCCTAAGAGATCTTGGCATCCTATAAAAAAGCCGATTTTGTTGAAAAATTACAACAAACTACACAAAAGCCGATGGAGTGACAGTAAGCATACCATGACCACAGTTAAGAACAACAGGCCGGTATAGCAGTTGCCTGCATGCAGTGCAAAGCACATCAGCAACTGTTACCCGGTTACCATTTTCAGCAGAACTTCCGTCATTCGATTTCGTTTCTTCAGAAGGAGAAGAATTTATCAACAGATTATCTTCACAACTGAGATCAGAAGGTTGGTCCCCAATGCTTGGATGGTCTAATTCTTCACCAGTAACAAGATGGTCTACATCCGGAGAAAAGGCCAACAACTTTTGTTCTTCATCCTCTATACAGTATCAACACATAGATTTAGCTACTCATTTCAAAGAAACCGCTAAATAATGGTTAACTTTAGTAGATTCTAACCAGAGGACCCATAAATTTTTASAAGTGGTGGCACAATTTGCCCATAAAAAATATCTACTTTTTTTTCACAATATTAATATAGATTTGTTGGTTGGTTCCTTGTCCTTACATAGAAAAGACCCATGTTCAAGTCCGGTCTACATATATTTTTAAAAACACAAGAGGTATATAAAGAACACCAAAATTTAAGCTAAAGAACACCAAAATTTGACAACTGTGGGACTCGAACCTGGGTCTTTTGTACGGAGGCAGGAACATTTATCATCTTAGTCATTAAAGTCTCGTGTTAACATTTCAGTTTCAGAAAACTACATGGTAGCATCCAACAAAACCATGTGGTGGCTTCCTTTAGAAATGTTCCCTTATGACTGAACTATGAATTGGTGGCCCGTGCCACCGTATCTATCCAAGTGGGTCCGCCCCTGATTCTAACTCCTATGTAATGCAAACACATACTCCCTTCTCCCAAAATAAATGTCCACAATGAAAAAGGCACACAGTTATGGAGCTAAGTAATTGTTACACTTTTTAATCAACTAAATGACAATTTTACCCTTAAATAATAGAAGTAATGAATTTCTCTAAGTAGCCACTTGCTTCAAAAATGGACACTTGTTTTGGGACAAACTAAAATAGAAACGTTGACACTTATTTAGGGACGGAGTGAGTAAATAACTAGTAGAATATATAGATTATACCAAGTGTTTGTCTTTTCCTTCTAGCATATGAAATTGGATACATCTTCTTGAGAAAAATGTGTAACATCAGACAGATAGCTGGAAAATGACGATACGCGTGCCTACATAATGGGCAATGAGATTGCCCTCTCCCATCCATGGAGTGGTGGCAACACCAGAAGCAGGTGGCATGGCCACAAACTGCAAAAATGTCAAGTAGTAATTCATAAACATAATACCAAAGCTATGCGATTGGCAAAATCCAGTTTTATTGTGAGCATTTCCTACCTAGAACAATGGGCTTGAATAGAATGTCTCTGCAACAGAAACATAACAACTTCAGTTCATAAATTAAAGATCAGTAGTGATCAGGGGAAAAAGCAAGAAATTACAAACAATCAATAAGAATACTGTATAAATATACATAGAAGACCATAAAAATAAGTCAATAACAGAAGTAACTCCAACCAACAAAACACTGACACCACTCTAAAAGTATAAATTGAAGTTTGTAGCTTACAATCATCAAATTTATTTGCAGACAACATTGCACTCATAGCAAAGTCTAAGGGTGAGGTGAACGCTAAGTTAGAGCAGTGGAAGGGAGCTTTAGAATCATCGGACTTGTGCATCAGTCAATGTAAGACAGAATAGCTACGGTGTAGTTTCAGCAAGGAACACATTAACAGGGTGTAAAAGTAAGCATTGAGGAGCCAAGGGTAACCCAAGTGGATAATTTTAAGTATCTAGGCTCAATGATTCAGAGGAAGGGTGAAATTGCAGATGACGTTGTGCACTGCATAAAGGCAGGTTGGTTAAAGTGGATAGTGGCTACGGGAGAGTTGTGCGATAAGAAGGCTGAAAGGAAATTCAGTAGGGTAGCGGGTAGCCATGAGACCAACTATACAGCTCTTGGAGTTCAACAGTAAAGAAGGTACAAATGAAGAAARTGGAAGTTGTAGAGATGAGAATGTTGAGATGGCAGGGTGGCCGGACCATGCTAGATAGGGTTTTGTGTCTTGAACGAATTTTTTTGATGTGAACTAGGGGTTGCACCCATCACATATTTAATAAGATAGGGTAGATTGAGGTGGTTCGGGAATGTCTGTAGGAGACATTTGACACCGCCGGTGAAGGGAGTGGAGAGGGTGACGGTTGAGGGGTAAGAAGGATCGGTAGGCCTATAAGAACGTGGATGACCAGTTAAGGATGGACGTGGCAACTTTAGGCATTTCTGAGGACATGATCTCTGATGGGAGTTCTTGGAGGCATAGGACTAGAATAGCTGATTTTTAATAGGATTTAATAGAGGGTGTTGACAACGGTATTGAGTGGAGGGTAGAGGGTTGGCAAAAAGGGTCCTTGTGTGGGATATACTGGGTTTATATTTATGATTACGTGTTGCATACACCTTTTCGTCGCGCACAAGCCAYAGTGAAACCACCTCTTCATCCTAGTGGTTGAGGTAAGGTCTGCATACATCATATCCCTCCTGGACCCTACTTTCAAGTGGGATATTAGGGGGTTGTTTGGTTTGGTTTAATCATCAAATTATTAGCTCAAAAAATGATACCAACCTTCACATTCTTATGAATGCTTGCGGTTATGGGGCAACGGAGGTACGAATTCTCATATTAACTCAAAATTCAGCCTTCTTCTTTAGGTACTGTTTTATAGTCTCAAATTAGAAGAATTACATTCTACAACAAAATAAAAAAAATTATTATCAGCAAAACAAACTGAATTGAGCTAATTCCAGTAGAAACCAATTAGAACTATAAATTAATGTCGAATCATGATTTATGATGGATCCACTAGAGAAACAAAACATTCAATTCAAAACCCTAACTTAAGCAGAAAAATCAAATTGAATATTTGCAAAATTGAATACAAGAAAGTAGCAGAGAAGCTTGAGGAAGACTTACAAACAAACGGCGCATATAAAATGATCAGAAATCTGCTCCGATTCATTGCCTTCTTCCATGGAGGATCTATTTTGGTTCGTGATATGAACTCCTAATTCGGACTCTTTCAAAGAAGAGAGGGTGGCAAATCATTGACTTCTAACCCGAATCCGATTATTGTCTTCTGGGCCAGGCCTCTAATGATGGGCTTTTCATTTTTAAGATTCCTCTAAAAATGGGCTTTTTATACGACCCCATACATCTTTTATCAGGCCCAATAGCTTTCTAAAAACCAGCCCGGGACCGATAAGGACCGGTTGAGGGACCGTCGACCGGGAACGGTTATGCTTTTGGACGGATTGTGGGACCGGCCTGGCCCGATGAGTTAAAAAAAAGAGTCGTTTTTTACCGTTGAGAACGTTTATATGACCGCTTTTGCGATTTTTGACCTTTTTTTTGTGTTTTTGGCCTTTTAAACAATATATAAAAGTGTCATGGAGTATGCTGTAAGATACCAATTTACAAAACCGCAAAAAAAATGTTTACAATTCTCGGTTTCTCTCTATATTTTGTGACTTCGGCTCGTATCCATTTCTCACTTCCACTTCACAATTCTCATTTCTTTCTCTCTTTGTCTTACAAAATGAGTGCTGAACAATATGATGCATCAAATGAACAAGTTGTCTAAGTTCTTGCTGAGCACGGACGAAAGTCCGAGATTTGGAATTCATACAACTTGGTGATCCTCACGAATGGGAAAAGAAAGGCACAATGCAAAATGTGTCAAACTCTTCTTATGGCGGAAAGAAATTCTACTTTAGAAGTGGAGATTGAAGAGATGAAAAAAATGAAATCGTCATGGAACTAAGCACGTCGCCAACTACCGATACCGACGACATTTACTCACTATATGACGATGATGAGGAACTCGACATTGATGACCAAGAGGCTATTAAAAGAACTCAAGAGACCGGAAGTCTTCAAATCAATCCGACGTGAGATACCAATGATGAATAAGTGTATCTTCAAATAATTGAATATTTGAATGAATTTTAATTCTAATGAAACGTATTTTTAAGGTGTATTTGAGTGATCTAGTTACAAATTTTATAATGTATTCAACAAATCTCATTATTTTTTTTTAATTAGTTTTTTTGGGGGGTAGGGACCGGAACCGGTTACCCATAACCGGTTATGGATCAAGTTAAATGGGCTCGAGTTTGATGACTGGGATCGGGACTGGTTACACCGGAACCGGTTATGAGCATCACTGTTCCGGCCTTGAGACCGGATTTTGGTCATCACTAGTTGCTGTTAAGTTGATTTTTTTATTAAATCATGTACAAATAAAACTATTTGTAATAGATTAATTTATTTCTATATACATCGTTTTTTAATTGGGCGGGACAGGTTTTGAAAAAACTTAGATTTCTGTGTAACGCTGTCTTTGGAAGTTTACTGAATAAGTCACTATTCTCTATCATTAAGTCATTACTAAATARTCATTTAAAACTTATAGAATAACTTGAAATTATACCAAAAATGGAATGGGATAGTCATTCGAAAATGAGAAAATGAGGGTGTCAAGATATCTATATGATCAAGATGGCCATCTCACGAATTGGATTTGGATCTCTAGATGTTCCCCTCGCTTACAGTTCCGCTCCAAAATCCTAGATTTGAATCTCTAAGGTTTCTCGTTGGTTCGTTTGTTCAGTCGTTGATGCTTGTTTGCTTTTGCATGTATTTTTCTTCTCTTTTTGTTTCCTTCAGTTGTGAGTTGGAGTTTGCTTTTGATTGCATCTCGCTACTTCTGATCATCTTTGTAATTTTTATTGCTACTTTAATATATTTTGTTGCTTTTCAGAAAAAAAAGGCTATGATATACCAATATCACCCTCAAAAACCCATAAAAAAACACTAAGTGGTCGTTTACCCAAATGCTTACTCGGTAAACGCTTATTGATATGAATCAACACTATCATTTATTTTGATGCGTAAGAATTTATACATCAAAACATATTGAATGCAACAATTTAATGGGTAAGCGCTTATCTGAGTAAGAGTCACCATCATCACTTACCGGGTAAGAATCTCCATTCATTCTCATCGCTCTTACCCGGTAAGACTTTTGGTCCTTCTCATGTTCATCCGATGAAGAAATTTATCCGGTAAGCACTTATCAAGTAAGTGTTTAGTAAACGACCCAAAGTATGTTTTTTTGATAAAGTTTCAATGCACCACTTTTTCTTGATCATGGAAAAAAAATGTTCATTTAAGAAAAAAGAACATCAAAGATTGAATAAAGATTTGTTGGAATGTTAAATAAATAAGTTTCATGTAAATCCATGATAACATATGCAGCTTATTTAGTAGCGTATTTGAATTTGATGTATCTACTTAATATTTATCAATTTAACATAAATCATATGTCTATTATGAACTGTTCATACATCTTGTGAATCCCATGTAAAGCGGGGTTTCATCTCAATGTTCGCCCTTCGAATCTAGTCTTTTGATTAGAGTAGGGGTCGTGATAGCGGTTGACCCCGAGACCGGAAAACCCCCGGTCAAGGACAGCCTTAAAGCCCGATTAGGCAGAAATTTTTGGGGCCTGTCCTGCTTGAAAAAAAGCTTGTTTAAGCCCGGCCTGAAAAGGCCCGATGTGTCCTTTTTCAACCCCAAAGATCCATCCAGGCCTAAAAAACCCAAGCCTTCTTTTTTGCTCATTGAAAACGGGCTTGGAAGGCCCGGGACTTGCATACCACATTAACAACACCAATAAAACGATCCAGAAAACCCGGATGGTAAAATTATTAAGCGTGAGTGTGTTAGAAGACGAAAATGGTTGCTAAAAATATACATGCTAGCWGCTACCCTTGACCTTACTCCTAATTAACGCGGATATAAACTATTGATAGCGAAAATTCACTCATAAAAAAAGTTACAACTTCTATATAAAGGCTTACGAATAACTGCACACTGATCAGTTCATCAGCAGCATTGGAAGTGGCAGAGCTCTGAGAAAGGAACAGACTTATTTCCATAGCTTAACAGAACTGTCGTGACTCGCAGAAGCAACCATTCCAGTAACAGGCGACTGTGCTAAAGCGGCTATTATGGTTTCGTGAGCTGGAACCGTCATCCGCTTGTTCTCAGCCATGTTCCACAGCTCCAACGACTGTACAAAACAAAATCAAAACCAAAAACAGAGAATTTAAGTAATCATTTCTTTTGTAAACAAAAGAATCCCATCAAGCCATCGGTACACTAGGGTCACTCATTTTATTGAAGAATTGGTACTCTCACTTATGAGCCATGTTTGGCAATAATAAGCCAACTTATTTTTAAGCTTATTGAAAAAGCCGCATTTGTTTGGCTATAAGCTAGGTTTTTTGAAAGTTACTTCAAGTTGTTTTCAATAAGCTTCAACACTTCTTTCCAATAATGCCCCTTATATTTTCCAATTATTTTTCAACATATCACTTTAAATTGTCATCTAGCTTATTAACTAAATTTTACCAAACATGACTAGCTTATAAGCCAACAGTCAGTTAGCTTATCAACCAACAACTAGTTTTTGCCCAACAGCTGGTTCATAAGTACTCAATGATGTTGATGTGAGGTAAATCAACTATGATTATGCTTGGCAAGCTAGCTGTTAGAAAAAAGCTAGTTGATGGCAGCCAACAACTAGCTTTTTGCTAACGGCTAGCCTATCGTCAACAACTAGTTTTAGTGAACGACTAGCTTACCAGCCAACAACTAGTTTTTGCAAACAGCTAGCCATCACCAACAGCTACTTTTTTGCCAATGGCTAGCTTATCAACCAACAACTAGTTTTTACGAACAGCTAGCCTATCGCCAACAACTACTTTTTGCCAACGGCTAGCTTATCAGCCTACAACTAGTTTTTGCGAACCACTAGCGTATCAGACATCAACTAGCTTATCGGCTAGTTTGCCAAACATAGGCATAGATGATTTACCTCACATCGACATTATTGAATAACCATATTAGTCTCTATTGTATCTTTTAGTTTTATCCTCAAACCCATTACAGCTACCAATGGAATAGCATTAAGGGAAATATAAAAATTGTCAACTAAAGCGATTTTAATGATTAATGTAACATCAAAGAGAAGTACTTACTCGAGTTCCGCCAATAACCAAAAGAGTAGAATAACTTGGATGGAAAACACAAGAATGGAACTGATTTCCATTTGAAGTGAGCTCATGAATACACTCTCCAGAGGCTAACGACCACACTTTCACAGATTCCTCACTTACAGAAGCCAGATATTCACCGTTCAAATCCCAGCACACGTAGTTTACTACTCCTGAATGTGCCTATGAAGTAAAGGGTTAAAATTGGAAATAAACTTATTACATAACACCATTTCTAACGCCCCGTAGCTCAAAGCAGCAGACTGGCCCAATAACCTCCCAATCAACTTAAAATCACGTGGAAGTTATTTGTAGCCTACAACTTTGAGATTATAAGATTCTCACAAAATTAATTTTCTATCCATGTTGTTACAATGCATAACCGTAAAAATTTATTTACTGAAACTTGCTGTGGGTTTACAACCGGATACCTGGAAGGAATGCGTTTGTCTATCAGTTTCAACATCAAAGATGGAGACAATTTTATCTGATGCTGCTGCCAGTAAATGTCCAGTTACCGGCTGGAATCGCACTTGTGCACTGCCTCCTTGCTACACTTGCCAATAAGAATGGTGCTTAGATACGAAAAAATAGAATGTGGGAACCAAACCAAACCAAACCAAACCAAACCAAACCAAACCAAACCAAACCAAACAGGTGCCATATATCCCACCCAGAGGTAAGTGTCTTTTTTGTGTGTGTGGGCCAAGGGGGTAAGATGTAGGCAGACGTTACCTCTGTCCTGAGAAACAGAGAGGCTGTTTCCGAGAAGAAACTCCGCTTGCATAATAGAAAAGAATATGGGAATATGCCTTTAACAATACCAACAAAAAGAAAGCAGTTATATGGAATTCCAGACAAACCTTAGAGAGGCGAGTGCACTGGAATGGGCTGAGGTTCCAATAGCGAATTTCGTTGCTACTATCACAGAAGCAGAAAAGGTCGTTCTTCTTGGGATGAAAATCGAGGGACATAACATGTGATGTATGCGCGGTATGTGCATGCAAACAATAGCTTGGCTGCAACGGCATATTTAAAATGTAATGCATTTTCCAGAACCCAACATATCAGACGGTAAACACAGACTCCAATGTTACTTTCGTCCCAAAATAAGTGTCAAAATTTCTATTTTAGCCTGTCCCAAAAGTAAGTGCCTACTTTCCAATTCTACCCTCAATTATGAGAGGAAAATTCATCACTACCTCCATCATTAAGGGTGATTGTCTTTTAGTTGATTAAAAAGTGTAATAATTACATATTTCTAAATTTATTTTGGGACGGAGGGGGTATATTATACGAGCAAGAAAAGAAAACTTACATTAGCTGCATCCCATATCCGCACAGACTTGTCAAAGGAAGCAGTTGCTAACTGGGTTGAATTTGGTCTAAACCGAACATCAGTAATTACGTACTGATGTTCTTCAGGGGTGCTCTCAGTTTGTAAGGTATCCATATTCCACAAAACAGCCTGAACAGAGGAAGAATTATTTATTACCCTGACTTGATGCTTAATGATCATGACAAATTGTCCGAAAATAAGAACCATGAATAAATAATTAAACTATAAAAACAAAAGACTGTGAGATAGATCAGCAAGCTCTGGGAAACATAAGCTACTGATATCTGGAAATTTCATGGCAGCAGATAACAATTATGCCATGTTTGGCAACCATAAGCTAGCATATTTTTCGAGCTTATTGAAAAAGCTCAGTTTGGTAAGTCATAGACTAGCTTATACGCTAGCTTTTTGAAAAGCTACTTCAGACATCTTTTCAATAAGCTCCAGAGGCTTTTTTTCATTTTTTTTCGAATTATGCCCCTTTTATGTTGAAACTATTAATTTTTCAAAATGCCCTTCTAGGTTATTTTACATTGTCATCAAGCTTATCAACTAGTTTTTACCAAACATGAGAGTATGCGACTACTTTATCAGCTAGCTTTTTAGCTAACAGCTAGCTTATCAGCCAGTTTGCGAAACATAGCCTTATGCACCAACTCTAATCATCATATAGCACTTTTACCTTTTTGTCGTGGCCAGCACTAGCTAGCAACTTCCCATCTGAAGAGAAGTGACAGCATGTGACCTTATTTCTTGTCCGTATACAACCAACTTCCCCAAACGAAAAACCTGTGGTATAGAATTTAGTTATCAGCAGTACATAAATGGTTTCTTTTACTTGCACACAAAGTGTTAAGATTGAGTACCTTTGGAAGACCCAGTCTTGTGCTCAGTAAGTGTCTGCTTTACTGTGCCATAGTCTCCTGCATCTTGTTGCAGAAAAGATTCCACATTATCATCAAGGGCGCCAACATCCCCAAAGTGCTCAATGTCATCCTGCACCATGAAGAAAAAGGTTGAGGATCATGGAGAATTTCATGTGAAGGTTCATGATTGGAGTCTTAATCCAGATCCATATATCTATACTATATTATTAAGCATTTTGTTCAAAATCTTAAAAACAATCCTATAAGCATTCAGGTGTAGTCCTGCGCATGGGTGAAAAAATTCCATTGTCGTAAGGCATTTGGCGCACCTTCCAACTCTAAGGTTGACTCAGATCTTGTTTTCGGGGTAGTTGGTCAGGTAAAGGCTGACCAAGCCAATGATGCTTTAGTGTTGATTGATTCATATCCCTTAATATTTAAGGGAACGTAATTACTCCATGTGTACAAGTCCTTAAAGCTATTTCAACTATGAGGGTCATTGACCAAACAGTACCGAGGTTACAGTAGAACCCAGCCTCCCTAGAGGTCAAAGGTTAAAGCCTCACCAAAAGTGAGGAGTGTGTGTGAGTTTAATTTGCCATATATAAATATTATATACTTGAAAAATATAATAAAAAACTAACTAATAATCAACTGATAACCACACCCAAATACATGATAGTCACCAAGTCCTACTAAAACGACATAATACTCCATCATTATCTTTACAAAAAAATGTTTCATCATTAAAACTAAACTATATTACGTCTTCGTTTTTAAATCTAACATATTTAAATTATTATAAAATTTTGAATTATATAATTATACCAAAACGAGAATTTTATAATCTTTAATTTGACACGCGTATCAATATATTATTTCCTGTGTTTTTTTACAAAGTCTTCAACTTAGCAAGACGTGTTCAACCACCACTTTGTAAAATCTATTTCGTTCAAAATTAAGTTTTGGATTTTCTTTTCCAACGAGAATTGCATTAATTTTCTACTATCGTTTTACGGTAAAATCTTACATCCCGCTGCACTATATAATGTACAAACAGGCATAGTGGCTGAAATCAGGTATGCGGCAAGTGCTTTATGAAATCAATTTGAACACACCAGATCAAGAGCAAAATTTCATTTGGTTATTGCGATCATTAACATCAAAAGCTACGTGGAAATGAAACAGGCTTACCAGCTGATTCGTAGAGGAAGCAATCCCACCCGTTCCATCTGCACCATACATCATCATGCTTTTCTGTACACTGTTCACATGCTGCAGACTGCTAGCTGTGGTTACCCCATCACCTGGGGTATGAGTTGATGCTGGAGAGCTTGGTGAAGGGCCTACTGTATTTCCTGTACCTGTACTGTTRGCTTGTCCAGACGAAGAATGTTGTTTTCGTTTTCTATTGTTCTGCTCCAAAGTTTAAAGACAACAGAGTAATTAAATGAACCCAACACGTTGTAAGAGAATAACAATAAATAAAAGCTAATTAAGCCTAACGCTTTTCCTTTTATTGCATGTGGTTGCAGAAAAAAAACTAATTATTCATTTTCTCGTAGATAAAAACTAATTATTCAATTCTCCAGGCCTCCAAGGCTCGTCTGTAAGCACCACCTGTTGTTGTTGCAGCTGGTGTTGCTGTTGCTGCAACTGGTCTTGTTGTTGTTGGCAAGAAGATTGTTGCATCTGCGGCATCTTCATCTGTTAAAAACATATATGGTTGAATTAAGGCTTCAACGCTTTAGAAATAGCAAGACAAAATAGATGACATATTGAATCATGCAAGATCAGTATGAACAACCAACACTACAGATGCATGGTATGTAGAAATTTATAAGTACTGTCATGGAGAAAACCAATAGAATGTTCATCATTGCAAACAACTTACTAGTAACTAAGAAAGAACAAACATTCTCATAGGAATGCAGGACACAGTGTTTAAACTAGTCTATAGGAAAAATTACCAGATCAGAAAAGCCAAGGCTTACAACAGATAGCTGCTGTTCATCTGATTTACAACAGAATTTAGGGGAGAAGAGATCACACACACAAAATGAAGAAAGCAGAGAGAATTCCAATGGATCGAACTGATAATTAGGCTGAGTAAGAGAGACAGAAGTTACTAAAAAATACAAGGAGAGAAAGACAACACACTTTTATTTCATTTTTCAAGTAATTTTGGTCTGTTATGCAACACACTCTTACATAACAATGGAATGGATTTATCATGTCACAACAAATATGATGTGATAAATATATGACCAACTAATAATGCTATTGACGGCTCCATCACCAATTGTACACTTGGGTTTTGGGTTCCATAACAAATGTAATGCTTGACTTGGTATGTAGTTTAATGAGAGCGTTTGATTAATTATCAAATATCTAACACGGCCCTTAATAAGACAAAAATTTGGAAACTTGCATCTATAAACTCGTATCACAAAAAACCTAGACTATGAAAAKTCATGGATCCTAAGAAGAAAAGTTAACCTTGGGTGAATTCATTTGCCCAGGGGAGCCTACAGATCCTTCATTTCTTGAGGCTTGGACATCTTTCATAATTAAATTACCCCTTGGTAGTCCGACAAATCCATAATTTGGTGATGCTCCAAGGTTGCCTTGTGCCTGGGCATGTGCTAATGCCTGTTGTTGTTGTGATGCCAAATAAAACTGACTTGGGTTCTGCAAATTGGGTTTATGTACTTGCAGACCTAAACCAGGGCGTAATTGGTCAATTCCCTGCATTGTATGCCAATACCAAAGGTTAACTATGAAAATGAATTACTACAGCAAATTCAATAGAGAAAAGACCATAAAGAACTTACAGTCAGAGGCCAACCCTTTAAGGGAAGACCAGTAACACCTTGATTCAATCCTGAAAAGATAAAAAAAAAAAAAAAGTATAAAGTGAACTTTCATTTTACAATAGATCTTACGAGTGACAAGTCAATCTAAGTGATAAAGGGCCATGGTTAACAAAAACCAGACCATAAAAATAGAAGATAATCCATAATAATTCATCTACTAGAAGAAGTTTGTGGAAGATTACCTGCACCACCCAATCCAGATTTTGACTGTAAAATGGCCTGTCCATAAATTGAAGAAGGATCTGAGGGCAAGAGTTTCTGTGTATTACCCATGTTAACTTCTTGTTTAATTTCCTAAGATTTACAAAATCTCATGAGCTCAAAATTGAACAAAAGGAAAGAAAAAATTACATAAATGTGCATGCAAAAAAACAATTTATTCAAGAATATACCGTGTTCATCTGAGATCTCCCTTGTATTTGCTGTAAATTTGCTGACATATTTGGAGAATTGCCTTGTACCAGTTGTCTGGATGAACAACAAAGACCAAAAGAACATGATACAACCAAAACATGTGAGGGAAAGAAAATGAAAGGAAAACTAACACTAGAGAACTGATTGTACCCTTGATGATTAGTGGCTGGCTTGAGAAGGGCCATCCTGCTAGCCTCAAGAAGAGCTGGAGAGGTTTCTGAATCCATAGAATGAGAAGGCTTCATGGGTTCCTCATACATTTTCATACCCAGTGTACTGGCTGACGGCTTTCCCATCAATCCATCAGTGTTCATAGCATTAACGGTACCGCCAAGGGGAGGATGATTAGGATCCCTCCTTTGCAATTGAGCATTTCGTTGTTGTATGAGATGCATCTGCTGCATTTGGAGCTGTTGTTGGTGTTCCTTTGCTTTCATTTGCTGTGTCTGGATTCTCAAAAAAAAAAAAAGAATGAGAAAAACAAAATGATGAGGAAAACATAAGGCTTTAGCCTAGCGGGTAAGGAGGTGGGCATCATTGCAGGTCCCGGGTTCCACTACAAAAAGAAACCACTTCCTCTACCTACTAGGAGAACAAAGGACAATCCACAATTAACAAAAAATAAAATAACGAAAACCTCAATGTAAGCTACAGCTGCCTCAGAATGTTTCTCATTCGTCCTAGCAATAAAAATGTCCCAAAAGACAGACCACCATTCAAAGAGAAATCCACCAGGAGCATCAATAGCTGCAAATCAATAGGAGACGGATATTCAAGTATTAATTAAATTGATATAGTATCTTCGTTGCATGCACCATGTTCACATTTAGATGGCTTAAATTTGGATTAGCCCCTAAAATCAGGTACATAAACCAATGTTAGTACGTCCCTACCTGATTCATATTCCTAGATAAGCAAACAGAATCAATTTTGAAATCTGCTCATCAATTTAACAACGATCATCTGAATTAACAACTGCTTTGACCCAGTGCATTATACATATAAAGACAATAAATGGAACCCTGAAACGTACCTACAGGATCTGTAGCAACCTTCCCTTCAGTCATGAAAGCTTTGGCAGATGCGTGCAACTTCCGTTTCAACAAATAGTCATGGATGTAAACATCCAGCCTACCAAAAAAAGGATATTTTCAAGATTAGAATCAAATCCTTCAAGATCGAGCACAAGCATACAAAAAGTAGTATTCATCAATTCCGAAGTGAGTGCAACCAGTGATCATATAGATGAATAAATGATGTTTTTGCAATAAGAAGAAAAAAGAAAAAAAGTGTTTACATGAAGATTATTCAAATCAATATGAATCTCCATAAAAATTATCGCAGTCATCTCATCTACAAAGTTAAACATTAGAAATAGTAGTTAAAAGTTGCAATTAAGATATCTGTCCGCCAAAAAACATTCCGCTTCAGACTTCTAAGTCTGGATTAAGTTTTAACTTCAGAATGAACTTAAAAGTTTGCTGAGCTAAATAATTAGAGCATTTGTGTAAATTCTAACACAGAAATGTTAGGTTTGAATTTCAAAGATCAGAACTCAGCCGTGCCCATGGAAGATTATTGAAGATGATAGAAAATATTTTGAACCAATCAAGGACGATTATTACAAATTTGGCACAAACTACTATACTATCTTACAGAGGCAAATCAATTGAATTGAATCGAGTCTTTTATGAACAAAGGACGAGTATGTACTCCACACAGAGTGATAGTCAGTGCAATAAATTCAGTTCCTCAAGGATCAGGACCTTATGAATTGAATCCAGTCCTTTTTAATCGTAAATGAAGAGGAATTGAGTCGATTGCGTAGCTTCTCTTATATCGCCTGATCAACCAGATCAGTTTGTAAAATTGATAAAAATCGATCAATTCACAAGTAAAACTTCAAACGTCTATAATAACACTCCGTATATGAAAAACATCTAGAACACAAAGAATTAACAGTGCTTACATCTTATCAGCTTCCCAGCTACTCTGCGCCATGGTCTGGTTCAGAACTCTCGATTAAAACTAAGGTCAATCTCAATCACAATTATCCCCCGCAACCAATTCTGCAAATTCGAAAAAGAACAGCACATATTAGAACAAAATTTAGAGTTTAGAACTAGAAAATCAAATAATAAAAGGAAATCATCAAACCGGCGCTTGCGCCATACCAGAAGTCCATCAGATTAAATCCAGCATTGTCGAGCGAACGAACAGCGATACTACTTAACTCAACCTAGATTCCTAATTAACAACCAATATTAGCTGAATTCAACTACAACGAATTGCTAGTAGTAACATTCCAAACTAAAAATCAAAAAAGCTCACTGACGTTAGCCAAGACTTCCGATAGCAACCTCTATCTTCAACTCATCTTTCTTCAAACCTTACAGACGGTTCCAAACGCAATTGAACAGCAAAATTGAACTTCAATCGTTGCGTAACCAACCAAAATTGACAACACACTGACTGATCAAGATCTACTTGCACGATTCAACATCAAATCGACGGAATTTCAAACAAAAATCACAAATAAACTTCAATTTCCCCTTCCAATCAATGTGAACAACAACAAACCATCAACCTGATGGAGTTCCAGACTAGAGAGAGAGAGAGAGAGAGAGAGAATGTCAAGAACATTAAAATGCCCAAGAAAGACGAAACCTTGAGACGAGGTTCGGAAAGCGGAAAACAGGTTCAGTGGTTAATATAGCATTTAGGTTCGATCTAGGTTCGGAATGAGGTTTGGTGATAGCATCTGGGGGATTGACTAAAGGTCGAACGAGTTGGGGTGAATTGTGGGCCAGGGTCAGCGGAGAGATGAGGTGGGGATGACGTCAGAACTTGTTCGATGTTTAACGAGCGTGAGCTGTCATCATCATTTAGAAGGCCATTAAATTGAATTTGCTCTGATTTTAAGCAGCAAGTAGCGTTCGTTGTCAATCCGGTAGAGTTATTTATTTATCTATTAATAGTTTTATTAGAAAACAGTTTAAGGATCATTAAAAAGTGAATCTTGTTTGATAAAAAAAAATTTGTTKTTTAATGGTTTTAAAATCTTATGAATGATTTTATATCATGAGTCTTCTTTAACCATTCAACATCCTAATTTCATTGTAAAGAATTACCAAACAATTATATTTTATTTGTATTATATCATGAAAATCTCTTAATTATTCCATCCATTTAATCATTTTGCACTAAATTATTCAGTAACTGCCAAACAAGCTAAATTATAAATTTGGTTCTTATGGTTTAATAAAAAATAGAGTAAATTACGTTTTTCGTTTTTGTAATTTGTTAAAAGTCGCATATTTTGTTCATGTGATTTTGAAATTTCGGTTTCCATTCTTATGGTTTGCAATTTATTTCCATTTCTGTCTCTAATATCAAAACACTACTTTTAAGTATGAAAGACTAAAATAAAAATGAATTGTAAACCATAAAGACTAAAAATGTAATAACTTTTAAATCATAAGGATAAAAAAGATAATAAATTATAATTCATAGGGATGAAAATTATAATTTCAAAACCATAAGATTGTAAATAGAAATTTTCAACAAACCACAAAGACTAAAAACATAATTTACTCTAAAAAGTATGACTAATGTTTCTAAATTTGATTAATTGTGGATTTGGTCCTTATGGTTGTCAATTCTTTACCGTTGGGGTCTTTGTGATTTTTTTTGAAGTATATAATATATATATATATATACGACAAATAAAATAAATAAACTTACATACATTTCTTACATTTAGCGAGGTTTGAACCCCTGATCTTTTAGGAGGCCAAAGACCCACATACCRCTAGGCCAAAGGCTCTTTGGTGGATCTTTCTAAAATGAAGAAGTTACTCATTGTTATAGTTGGATGTGAAAGACATCTATTGTTCAAAACGAATTATTATTTCTTATTCATTATCTATTTTTTCTCTAAATAATATTCTCTTCATAAAAAATAAATATAGATATGTGAAAGATCTCTGAAAATTGTATCAAAAATTACTCGAAATAAGAAAATTTTGATTCCAGACAATACAATATTTGT